AATCCATACTGTTACACACATATGCACAGAGTAACCCTGGTCCCCCTAAATAAGGGTGTGTGTTTAGATATAATTTCGGGTATTTGGAAATGTGGGAATATTTGTTTATTTATTTGTTTATTTATTTGTTTATTTATCCGCCCTCCCCAGCGGGCTCAGGGCGGCTACAACAAAGGCAATTGCCATAACAACAGTTAAAACAACATAAAAACAATCATTAAACAGTATAAAACAATCCTTAAGTAAAGTGCGGTGCTCTTGATGTTAAATTTTTCTTAATCCAAGATGAGTTCCATTCATCAACCTAACCTGACAACATGCATTCTTTGGTTAACTAGGCGTCTGCCCAGGGTCGGCTCACCTCCAGATCCAATCCACCGTTGAAGATGGCAACTTGGTGGTGGTACAGTGACGGCGGCGGCTCCTATGCAAAGGCCTGGCGGAAGAGCTCCATCTTGCAAGCCCTGCGGAACTGTGCCAGGTCCCACAGGGCCCGAACCTGCTCTGGGAGCTCATTCCACCAGACAGGAGCCGCCGCCAAAAAAATCCCTGGCCCTGGTTGCAGCCAGCTTGATGTCCTTGGGGCCGGGAACCACCAATAGGAAGTAGTTTCTAAATCTCAGTCTGAGCCACTTCCGCACTGTCATTTTTGTCACTCATTTGTCCCTATTGCTTCAGGGTTTCCCCCCCCCCCAATGTGTTTTGCTCTCTCTAGTAGTCCCAGAGGGAGCAAAACACATGTGGGAATGGGTGGGGGGGACCCAAAGCAATAAGGACCAAAGAGTGACAAAAATGACAGTACAGGGTGCAGATTGCTTTAGATTGCATTCTGACCTGAGTTTTAATACACATCCCCATTTATATCAACCAGACACATATTTTTATCAGTTATGTGAGATGGATCAGGACTAAGCATATTTAGAGGCTTTCTGAATGTAATATCTGTTGCATAATGACTAGTACAATAAAGTCAGGAGAGAGGTCTACCTTCATGAAAACATGGTGGTGATTTAAAACCACAGAACTTTCATCGGTATAAAGCTCCATGTTTCATTTTCACAGGTGCTGGATACTTGCCAAGATGAATTGGTGTGGCACAATCATTTGGGGGAAATGAAAACATTGTACACATTTGAAAAATCAGAACATTTGTTCAGTCAAAATGGTTACATTTGAATATAGGTGAATGGCCTCAAATTCTGCACAGCTTGGATTTGAATAGTAA